TAGTTTTTAAACAAATTGGCTTAATGCCTTGTGCTTGATTTTATAAAGTAGCCAAGCACTGCAGGCTTTTGGCAGATACACTTGCTTGAACAAATGCTTTTGTGTGTTACGCTAGTCAGTCATTGTGTCTGTCATTTTTATCTTTCTCTCTATTTTTTCATAACTTCAATTTTTTAATCTTTTATTTCAACTCTAACTTGGCCTTTATATAACAATGGATTTTGCCAACTTTCCTGGAAGCTGCACTGATTCAATACATTCAGGCTTCTTGGGGAACTTGGTTTCAGTTGGAAAGTTTCTAAATTATGGGAAAATACTGTTTGCATGGCACTCATTTACAAGATGGCATGGTATGTGAAAGAACAGGTGTGAAAAATGAAGTGAATAAAATTGCTTTTGAAATACAAATGGGCATTTCATGGGCTTCTGTTGGGAGAATGTCTTTTCTAAACTGTAATAAGTATTTAATTTTTCTTTTCAGCTGGGTGTTTTAGTTCTGAAATTAAATTACATAATATTTCTTTATATGCTTAGTTTTAAATTAAAATTCATAATTAAGCTTAATATGAAGTTACAAGATTTGATTTAATGCTTTCTTCCAGTGCCTGAACTAATGTACACTGTATTAGAAGGTGCAGTTGTCATTGAGAAGCTTTGTTCTTTTAACAAAAGGTACCAAAAATAAATTTGGTTAGGGTCATAGTGGTCTAGTTTAATACTGTTATGATAATAAGTCCTATAATTACTTTCAGGTAGTTCTTCCTTCCCAGAGGATGAGGTTTTTAGTTTTGATGTCTGCTTAAAGCATGAGGATGACAGTAAAATTAATGTCATAACCTTTACAGCCTATTTATCGCTTTCTCTGTAATATCCTAAAGGATTTTGTGTAACATCTAAGATAAATGTCTTAGTATGGACAAGCATCGAATTAGGTTAATTGGGTTCAACTGATATTCATATTCAGTGTGTCTGTCAGGACACCTGTTTCATATAAAAGACCTGTGGGTATCTTCCTATGAAAATTGCTTTGAAATTATTACATGTATATGCTCTGCTTCCTTTACAGACTGAGTTACAGTATGGGATTTTTTTTCCAGTTTGCTTGCTATTTTTGCCTCTTAGGAATAATGCAATTTATCCTTTCATTCTCTGGTAACATAAGGAATAGTACAGGCATGACAGAACTTATTTTATGGCATTAAGAGAGATTTTACTTTCTAATTCTGTCCGGCTTCAATGCCACTTCACTTGAAATTCTTGTAATAGATTTCTTTTCTTTCATCTCTGAGTAGTCAGCAGATTTCTAGAAAACTAATTTCAGTTCTGGAATACTGTGACTTGAATGATTTTATTTAGAGTCTTATGGTAGAGTTATATACTGAGCAAAACAAATTTTAACATTATATAGAATTTTAAAATCTTCATAGTTTTTATAAGCTCTCAGGTGGAGAATAATTTATGATATTGGCAGATAGAAATTCGTGTATTTGGAAAGAGCCAGTATTGGAATCAAATGTAACCAGGGAAGAGTGAAAGAACATTTGCCTCTTCAGTATTCAATAAGAACATCAGGACATACTGAATTATTAGTTGCAGACCAGCCTAAATTTTTTTCTGGATGTAAGAACATAAAAGAGGTACAAAATTAAATTAGTAATTTTAGTTCTAAGCATAGCTTTTTTTGAACATCAGCTGGATTTTTTTTTATTTTATTTTTTTAATGGAAAGTAGTCATATCAAGCCAGATTTATAGTGAAGTGGGAAAAATACCCCCAGACTTGCTCAGGGCAGGCATAAGTAGTTTTGTGGATGTTATAATCTTCAAATTCTAAAAGTTTGAATCAATGTATTGTACAGAACTTTTTGAGACTTTATTTTATGTTTAGGACATGCATAAAATGTGTATAGATAATAAATATCTGTTAAACATGAGCCTAGCAGAAAAGCGTCAAAAACTGTCAGAGAAAGGATCAAAAAGACAGGATCACAATTGATGTATTTGAAAACAGTGTAAAACACAGATGGGACCAATGCACAATGTTTATGGTTTGCTTTGTAAATTATATGTAGTCAAAGAAAACATGCTTTAACACAGCGATATGTATGAGGATGGATAGAAAAATTTGAAGGGATAAGAATTTGTCCTGATTTCAGAATCTTGTGCTCTTCAGTTTTTCCAAAAAGAGAGGTTACTTGATTAAATATCTCCAAGTATAAAATGTAATGGAAGGTACTTTCATATTACAACAATAATAAAAATACTATTAATGAATTGCTAAAAGAAATTATCAATTTTAATTGGAGAAATTATACTATTTTAAAATTATTATTATTATTATTATTATTATTATTATTATTATTATTATTATTATTGTGATCAATGTCTGTCAAATAAGCACTGATTTTCTAGGTTAATACCATTATCTTGCTGCAGTTAGAGTTGAATTCAAATTATAGATGCCTCTATACAATGTTTGGTTTTATATGATCCAATTTTGTATTGTAGTGTTAGGGTTTGTGAGTGTGTCTGGGAAGAACATTGGAAAAATATCTGGAGCTTCTATTTCCACATAGTATTCTAAGAATTGTTGAACTGTATCCTGAAGTCTGGTTTGTTATAATTCTAAAAGTTGATGGTAGCTATAAGGGGCACCCTCTTAACATGATTTAATGCTCCTATACACAGGGAAAGAACATGGAAACCGAAAAACAATGTGATTTTGAAAGAGTAAATTTGAGAAGCTTTATTTGAATATAATTTCTCAAATTGTTTTTACAAGAATATGTGTTGGTTTAAATGTTTCAGAGTGTTTTCAAGTCCTGTAAATACTAAGGGGGAAGAAAAACTTCAGACTTTGATTCTCTGAAAAGCTGTTATTTATCAACATGGCCTTAAGGAAGGATGTCTTACAATGTGGGTGACAGACAAGTTGGAAAGCCACACTGATTTCCGGAAGTGTCTCACCATTCCAAAATTCTACTGATGTGGCCTGTTCCATTCTTCAGTGTGCAGAGGGAGCTGTCTGTATGCTTCCACAACATCAAGCTGCATTTAGATGAGCCAGTGTGTGTTTGAGTGCTGGGCCTGACAGCTCATGGCTTGGCTGCTTAAGTACCACGGACAGAGGCTCTCTGAGGCAGCTGGGGATCTGCTGATGGGCATCAGCACCCTGCCAGGAGGTGCTGGTTGATGCACCAGAGCTGCATGTTAGCTGTGGCTCAGAACAGAAGATACAGGTGCCAGAGCTTCACCTGTTTGCTGTGTGAGAGGTCTCCTCACAGCAGCCATGCTCAGTGTTCATCCATTCAGGATGTTGAACTTCCCGAGAATGGAATTGGTGTTCTTTTCACTTTATGGCTACCTACAGAACCATCTTCTTCCAGAACCTCACTTTTGCTTTTTGAGAGTCAATTTTTTTTGCATGATAGTAAAGAAATATGTTCAAGGCTTTTTTTTTTTTTTTGGTATTTGCATCATTATTTGTCCTATGTATTCTGTATTTAATCAAAACTAATCTTTGGAACATCATGTGCTCAGAAGATGTGTCCTGAGTGCATGTCTGGCATGTTCTTGATGAAAGATTCTCCTGGCTGTTAAATTGGTCAGGAAAGTCAGCAGTCTCCACGTCTGTGCAGCTGGCTTTGTTTGTGGGAATGTTGTAGATGTTCACTATGGATATATGAAAACCAAGATCTGAGTAAACCCACAAGAAGTTTTAGTTCCATCTGTATCAGTCAATGGACTTTTCTGTTGCCTTCCCAAAGCCTCTGGCTGCATCAGCAGAACAAGAGCTTCATACCCTTTGTGATGTGTAACATGTTAGTGGTGTTCCGTTGAACCAAACTATTATGCAGCCATTCCAAAAGCTAGGCCATTTTATGAAAAATAAATCTAAGTGGAGAACAGTAGTTTTTATATTGTCATTGTATTATCCTGTGTCTTTCCTCCCTGACTGTTGAATCCCACTTCAGCAGAGCTTGAACAGCACACTCAACTGCACTGGAAAGAAGCAGCCAACTCTTGATTTACTGGGTGGCCATTTGATGTAAAACCATTTTGTCAAATGCAGTGTGTCACATCTTGCTGTAAATACCATCAGCACATTCAGGACAGGCGGCAATGTAATGTTTGGTTCACAAGAGCAAGGTAGTGTCTTCATTGTAGCATCCATGGAAGAGTCTGCTGGTCACACAGTTATGTCGGATCCATGCAGTCACAGAGAATCACAATGGTTTGGGTTGGAAGGGACCCTAAAGGCCCCACCGAGTCCCAGCAGTCCTGCCTGGGCAGGTACCTTCTGCTAGATCACACTGCTCAAAGCTGCATCCAGCTTGGCCTTGGTGAGGCATTCACAGGAAAACTGTTCCAGTGCCTCACCACCCTTACAGTAAAGCATTTCTGTCTAGTATGTAATCTAAACCTATCCTCTTTCAATTTAATGCTAATACCCCTTGTCCTATCTGCAGATGCACTTGTAAAAAGTCCACTCCAGCTTTTCTGTTGGCTGTCTTTAGGTACTGGAGGGTGCTGTAAGGTCTCCTTGGAGCCTTCTTTTCTTCAGGCTGATCAGCCCCAGCTCTGTCTTCATAGAGAGTTGCTTTAGCCCTGTGATCAACACTGGGGCTCTCCTCTGGATCCTCCCCAACAGGTCCATGTGTTTGAAGGGAAATGATTGCTTAACCCTATATTGTCTGTGATTCTTCAGAATGTATTGCCATATGGGGATTCATGACTGTCCTCTTTCCTGGCTTTAAGAAGGTTGTTTAATCACAAAAAGCCTAAGTTAGTAGTACACAGTGTTGAAATATGGAGAGCACACATGGGGGTCCAAAGAAACCCTTGGTTTTAATCTCTGGTGATGTTTTCTTGAGAGCTATGGACATACTGGGATCCATTCTGAAGTACAAGTCTGGAAACTCTTGCCATTGTCCTGTTCATTTTTTTTTTGTTAGTTTGTAAGAAATTATCAGAGCTTCTAAGTATCTGTATTTCTTTCTAGGAACATTGTCGTAACTGTTAAAGGGCATAATGCAGAATCCGTTAACAGTTTCTGCAGGTATAGTATGCTTTCTATACTTTACTTAGAAATTAGATGCTTGTGATTCAAAATGTTGAAGAAATATCATTATTATTAATCACTATATCATTTGTGTCTAGTATTCTGCTGTGGTATGATTTGAAAAAAGAAAAGCTGTTACTGCAGGATTTATCACTTTAAACAATTACAGCAGCTAAAATTATATTCTTCTTTAGGGCATTGCTAATTACTGTTAACACCTGTAGTTGAAACTTGAAGAAGCATAAATCTGCTTCTTCTTTGATTCAGCAGAATGAAGTATTCAGGTTTTATTATTTTTAAAAAAAATCTTCATATATTTGAAAATCCCTGCTGTATTTGATCCCCATATTAAATGGGGTCAAAATCTATCTGTAAATTATGCTACACAGTTAGCAGAAACAGGAATGAATGTTAACTTATTTTTTTTAAATGCCTTTTCTTCAGCATTCCCATCATTACTATTTTTTCTTTTTGTTTAGTTCTTTCTTCTATGTGGTTTCTTTAAAAGCTGTCTTTAATTTGATTTAGTTTTCACTAGGGTTTTGTCTTGATTTTTTCCCTCTGCTATTAGTAAGGGTATTTGTGTATTCTCAAACCTCTAAATGTGTAGCTGTAACTTCAGTTTCCTTTCCCTTTTGATCTGTGTCTCAATGCTAATGCTTAAGTATGATTTTTAACATTAATGTAATTTTTAATGATACTTAAATGTGAGTGAACGTTTGATGGATACGACATCAGCTCTAATGGACCTTTCAGAACCATTGCTGGTTGTCAGTTAAGTTTCCATTGTTAGTACTTATGTTAATTAGGAAGAGCACTATCTATTACTTTATTTGAAGCCTTGAGCTTTTACTGTCATGTAAGTTTATACTTTACCTGTTTTGTGAGACTGAGTATTTTTATGATGCTATAATAATTCTGAGGAAGCTGTTCCAGAAGCATGTCATTCTGATTGATTTCAGGTGATTAATTCTGTGTCTCTTGGGACTGTTCTTTCAAGGCAGACAGTACTTCCTGTTGGGTAAAGCTGCCCATCCCAGAGTGTGCTCTACATTCCCATGCTTGTGACTGAAGTACTCAATTCTAATACTTAAAAGCATTCGTTTAATTTTTCCTTTAAGTAACAGGAATTTGACTTTGGTTATACTCTTACATTAAAGCCATTTCTGAATAGTAATAGGAGAATATAGACTGTGAAGCTCTATGTAAACTTCAAATCGATTAAGAATTTGCTTTGAAACTTTTTTGAAGGCTTTTTCTTTTTTCCCCTAAATCAAAATCCATTCCAGTCAGTATCCTGTTACTGACTTGTACCCAGAGGGAATGGTAAACTTAGAAGTGAGCTTCCATGTTAGAAGTCACAGAAAAACAGAATATCCTGAGTTGCAAGGGACCCACAAGGATCACAGAGTCCAACTCCTGGCCCTGCACAGCACCCCCCAAGAGTCACACCATGTGCATGAGAGCATTGTACAAACACTTCTTGAATTCCTTTGGGCTTGCTATTGTGACCACTGCCCTGGGGAGCCTGTCCCAGTGCCCAACCATCCTCTAGGTGAAGAACCTTTTCTGGATATCCAGCCTAATCCTCCCCTGACACAACTTCAGGCCATTCCCTCATGTCCTGTCACTTGTCCCTCCTCTGCTCCTCACAAAACTGCAGTGAGGTCTCCCCGCAGTGTCCTCTCCCCCAGGATGAACAGACCAAGTGATCTCAGCTGCTTCTCACACAGCTTCCCCTCAGGGCCCTTCACCAGCTTTGTGGCACTCCTTTTTATGCTTTCTAACAGTTTCGTATCTTCTGTATATTGTGGCACCCAGAGCTGCCCCCAGCACTCAGGTGAGGCTGCCCAGGGCAGAGCAGAGCAGGACAATCCCCTCCCTTGCCCTGCTGGCCATGCTGTGCCTGGTGCCCCCAGGACAGGGTTGGCCCTCCTGGCTGCCAGGGCACTGCTGGCTCAGGTTCGGCTTGCCATGGACATGGACCCCCAGGTTCCTTGCTGTGCTCTCCAGCCTCTCATTCCCCAGTCTGTACCTCCAGGGTTGCTCCATCCCAGGGACAAAATACGGCACTTTATATGTTGGACTTCATGTGGCTGGTGTTGCCCAGTCCTCTTAATTTGTCAAGATCTCTTTGCAGAACCTCCCTAGATCATGACCAGGAGCTATATCAGTGTGAAATGATGATACTCTACAAATACATTAGTCTCCGTATATTTTTTTTACTATGATACTTTTTTTGTCTTCATATCAAGTATCACTTGTTTCTTAAATATAGCACTTTGAAAACATGCAGGGTATTAGTAATTTGTGATGATTTATGTACAACTCTTATGTTGGTACATTTCTTACAAATAAAACTTTAGGGAATAGATTAGATTGGAAATGGAACCTATTCATCAGTTACATTCAGTGTGGCATATTTGTCAGTGTTTCTGTACTTTGAGTGTACTTGTTATTTTTCAGTTAAGTATGGAAGTAATGATTAGTGCAAGGTCTTTGAGTGACAGCTAAACACTTCACTGCTGCCATTTGTCATGTAATAGCAGGTGTTCTGTAATTTAATCCGTACTCCTTCAAGACATCTGTATTTTTCTCAGTTTTAAAATATTTTATAAGAAGCGTGACTATCTTTTAAGTAGCAAGCAATTGAAACACCATGTTCAATTAGATGCACTTTTCTGAACAATAAGTGTCTAACTTGTCAGATTTTATTTCTTCCTCAGGATTATGAAATTATCATTTCATTAATATGACAACATATGACATGACAACAGTCATTGAAGCATTATATTTGACTATTCACACTTATATTAAATATTTACTGTTGAGCAAGTGTTGGTATTTTTTATAATGCTCCATCATGGCATACAATACTGCTGTGCCTTAGTGAACTGAAATACTGTTGGCATTGTCAGATTTATAAAATATTTTTGTTAAATTACTCTAACATGAAAGAATTGTGTATCTTAGAGAAATATTTTGCAAAATATAAGACTGTCCTGGTTTATTTATCTAATAGGTTTTGTCTTTTTAAAATATCCATTGGAAAAGGGTATCACACACTAAAGTAATAGTTTTGTTCTTTGAATATGTTTATTTTAACTTTTTTAGAATCATAGGTCAAGTGTGGTTCTGCACACTTTGTATCCATGTTAGTATGGTTGTTTGGTGCTGGGAGATCTCAAACTTCCATTAGCCTTGTAAATGTGTTTCTTAGCATCAGCTCTCACTTTGCTGGAACCCCTGCTGCCTTTGTATCATTAACATAAATGCAGGTGCAAATAGCATTTATGTACTTTGATAGAAAGCAGTTGGAGACGTTTCACTGTGGGACACGACACTTTCAGATTGTGTACATCTGTTCAAATAATGTATCCAAGCCAGTGACATGAATGCAAGGATAAAAACATCTGCCCCTGAGACCATTTGCCATACAGCAGATGCTTGCATCTTTATTTATGCAGATGGTTTGTGTGATGCGCTGAGCAATGATGAAAGCGGGAAAGTTTGACAAAGATTTCAGGGTATTCCTTGGGATGGGAAAATACGTTGGTAACAGTGCTTTATTTTCATTTGTCTACTGAAAGAAGAACATCTAGTGTAAATACTAGTGGTTCTAGTAACACGGATGTGCCATTTCAGGCACTGACTAGATTAACACAAGTTCAGTAAAGGATTTTTTTTTCATCTCAGGCAGAATAATTGTACTGCAGTTGTAGAAGATGCTGATAGAAGTAATTACTTTCAAACAGGAGGGCTCAGCTGCTTAGCTTTAGGATGCTCTCAAGTTATGCAAAACAATGAATTGACTGAAGAGTTTTCAGAGGTAGAATGTTTTGAAATACTAAGGTAACTCGTCACGAAGTTGTGCGGAGGTTGGGTGCGGTTGTGTACCTGACTGCGGCTTGGGGGATTTTTCAGGACAAGCCGTATTTAACATTACGAAAATATTAGGCCAGTTATTAGGCCTGTGTGTTGTTTGAAGCCTGCAGCGGGGCGGTGGCCATGAGCCGCGGCTCGGAGCCGGGCTGGACGCGCGGAGCGGGGCTGCGGGACGGGCACCGACTCCCTCTGCTGGCTCCGCTCCCGGCTCCGCTCCCGGCTCCGCTCCCGGCTCCGCGCACGGGCACGGACACGGACACGGACACGGGCACGGACACGGCCGGGCAAGGGCGGCATCCTCCGCTTCCATCCTCACTGCCCGGCCTTGCTGATGCATTGTCACCTGTCTGCAGTGTATCCCACAGCTCATCCAGCCCCTTCTCTCGAGAACCAGCGCTGCCTTTAAACAGCATGGTGTGGTTAGCATGGGCAAGCTAGCAATGCCAATAAGCATTGCAAATAATTGTAATTATGCACTGAGGGAGGAAAATCAGTCAGATACAGTAATTTGAATGGTTTTCTGCTGCATCCTACTGCCAGTGAGGTCTAGCTGTGTCCAAGTTCATCAGCAAGTGATAATTTTATATGTTATGAAAATTAATATTTGTCTAGCCAGGACCATAGCATTTCAGAAGATGTTTTAGTTTTCCCATGCAATGCAGATCCATGTCTATCTTTGAAAAAATATACATACCGTGGAGATCCTTTAATCTTTTAGTTTTAATCTTCAACTGAATTAACTGCAGGTAACAATGTTTGGTGTTTCTCAGCTAGAGCTGGAGAGTTTTTCCAAAGAAATCTGGCTTCTGAAGAAAAAAAGGGGGCACAATTAGAGCAAACAAAAACCTTCTATAGGGATTCCCCATTCAAAACTTAGACCACTTAAGTAATATTCAGTGAAATTACCTATTAAAAAAACCCCTCAGAAGATACTCTCCAGCTATCCTTGGAGTTTAACAGTTTTTCTGGCCCTTTCTTTGGAGAGTGGTAAGTTAGTGTATAATTTATAACAGAAGACTCAAAATAGGCCAAGACAAGACTGGCAGTCTTTTGATCCTCAGTTCATGAGGGAACATTTTTGAGGTTTGTACTACAGAAGTCACCATGCAGATGTTTTTAAAGCCTCAAGTAAAATATGATTGCTGTATTGAGCCGAAGTAGTAAATTAATTGTTTTCTCTTGCATACAGTCTTTCTTTAGAAAAAAGGTGCACTGATTCTCACACAAAAAAGTACTCTTTAACAGGAATAAAACTTTCATTTTTTTGTTGTGTTGTCTTTTGTTTGCATGTCAGTATTAAAAAAAATTAAATTTTGGGAGTAAGAGGCCTAATTCCCTTACTGAAGTGAGACATACATGTTTTCTGTCCCAAAGAGGGTTGAACTCTCAGTAGGATGTAGGTATGTCCTCTTTTTTGAAAGAAGAGTAAAAATCTAATCAGAAACTATTTTATGATTTTATTAATTAAATGGTTCTACTTGACCTTTTCATGCTGCATAGTTCTTGAAGAATTTTACCTTAATTTTTGTAGCAGTTTTGGTAGTTACTGTTTCCTGTACTTAAGAGAAAATAAGTCCATTAATTACTACATACATTAGGCATATTGAAATTTTGTCCATGTTGATTTGATCTTGATAGACCCTTTAAAAATAACTATACATTGACTTTACAGTGGATGAATCACTGTTTAGGTCCATGTCTTTCCTGAAGCTCACTAAAAGAAATTTCCACTGGCAATTCTGTCCGGAATTTTGAAAAATCCTATTACAGGTGTTTATCCCCACTTTCTAAAGTACCTAATTTATATTTGCAATGCTGTTTGGGGGTTATGAATTACTAGTTTATGACCAATGCTTCCATCACCTCCTTCAACTATTTTCTGAACAATTAGTTCCCCCAAGTGGCTGCATCAATCCAGCTTTGCTTTGCAAATCTTCAGGGATGGTGTCCTCTATGGAACAGAATGACTGGGTAAAACCAACAAAGATAACCAGTGGACTTGCAGTGATAGCAAAATAATTTCCATTCTACTCAATTGCATCCTGTCAGATCACCAAGGTTCCCAGGTAATGCCCACTCTGAGGCTGACATAATTGGTTGCTGGAACTTGCAGAGGCGTAAAGAAGCTGAAATTCAGTCTTTGATGATGTTTCTAACAGTGTCTCTCAAAAAGAAGTTCTGTGCTTAAATAGAAATTAAATTCAGTCACTTATTTGTGTGGTTGTAGAGGCCAGGAACCATTTTGAGCCCTTAGTTCTTATACTGCCATAGTGAGAAAAATCTGTGTAGTTTTTTCAGCTGTAAAGGTGGAAAAGGTTGTAAGTAATTACAGATTCTTTATGTCTAGCTTTCTTTATGCCAATTTTCATTTCTTGATATGAAAATATTTTGATCTGCTTAAGACCTATTAATTTTGTTGATCTTAATATGAAATGAGTAACTTCTAACTTGAAAGGCTGTTCCTTCAAAAAAATGGAAGGCTTTTAAAGTTCACAAACACTGCATGAGAGGTGCTAAAAAACCAATTAGATCTGCTAATAAATATATTTTAAATTCACTGCAAAAGTGTCTAAAATTCTCGTATGTATATGTATGCTGACTCTTATATGTATTCTGACTTTAAATACTTTCTTCCTTTACACACTAGCACAAAAAAGGCTTTTTATTACAGGAGGTTGTGTTAAGCCATGCATTGTCCACATTATATATAGGAAGCTGCTTTTGAATAGTGATTCACCTATAGTGATTACCTATAGTGATTTTTGGATAGTGTGACTATTATGTTACAGGTTTCAACTAAAAAAGGTTGCCTCAAAGCTGTTGGCCACTTGTAGTTCCCTGCAGAAATAGTATTTCATACATATTTAAAAAGTTATTTGTGGTGGGACCATACAGAGATCTATCAAATCTAAATCTATGAGAAATTAAAAATTATTTCTTAATTATTACTGTTGCCAGTGCTGCTAATATAGTGACTAAATTTCTCACAATGTGTTAACTTGTGTTTAAGTCTGCCATAGTATGGGTATTTTTTATGTTATACTTTTCTCTGGGGACAGAGATACTGAAGCCAAGATGCTGGTGTGAGTGATGGGCAGGTAAAAAATGTCTCCCTTGTACCTAGTCTGAATCGACTTTGTTTTACCTTAAAAGCATTATGCTTTGTCCTGTTTCTGCAAACACTGTAAAAAAGTGTCGCTGTCTTGCTTTTCAGCCCCTTTCAGGTATTGTAAGGCCCCAATTGGGTCTTCTTGGAGCCTTCCCCAGACTAAATAACCCCATCTCTGTCCCAGCCTAACCTCATACAAGAGGTGTTCCATCCTCCTCATCATTTTCATGGCCCTTCTCTGGACTTGCTCCACAGGTCCATGTCTTTCCTATGCCAAGGGCTGTAGGGCTGATGCTGTGCTCCGGGTGGGTCTCACCAGGTCAGAGCAGAGGGGCAGAGTCCCCTCCCTCCCCTGCTGCCCACGGTGCTCTGGATGCAGCCCAGTTTGGTTTCTGGGCTGGGAGCGCATGTTTGCAGCTCACAGTCAGCTTTTCATCCACCAGTACCCCCAAGTTCTTGGCAGAGCTGCTCTGAATCACTTTGGCCCCACCTGTGTTGATACCAGGGACTGTCCTGACCCACGTGCAGGAACTCATGAGCTTCCCATGGGGCACTTCTTGATCTTGTCCAGGTGCCTCAGGCATCCCATCCTCCAGGTGTGCCAGCTGCACCTCTCAGGTTGCTTTTGCCTGCAGACTTGCTGAGGGTGCACTTAATGCCATTGTCAGTGTCACTGGTATGGAACAGCACTGGTCCCAGTATGGACCCAAGGGACACCACGGGTCACCCATCTCCGTGTGGGCATTGAACTGTTCACCATGAGCATCCAGCCAATCCCTTTTCCATCCAATAGCCCGTCAATCAATAGAGTCTATACCTCTCCAGTTTGGAGAAGAGGACTGTGTGAAAGGCCTCTCCTCTGTACTTCAAACAACAGAAGAAAGCAATTCTGGAAGTTGAGAAAGTGGCATAATCTAATTTTTGTTTTCTTAAGTTATGTTAGATCTGTATAAACTTTAGCATGTATCAATATATGGTTAATAGTGCAGAAAGGGCATTTCAGGCAAAAACAGACTGAATTAGAGAGGAAACTGGAGGACTTCTTAAATGCAAACTATATACCCATGATCTTGGATTACTGTATGACTTACCTCTGCAAGGTGGCAGTTTATGCTAAAAATAGTTGTAGCTTATTCCCACGCTGAAAAACGCCACTAGAAATTTTAATGTTGAACATCCTCTTTAATGGAATCCAATTAATGTAAAAAAAAGTATTGTTATTTCAATATGTTCTTCTGCTAAGAAGAGTCTTTTGGAGACCATTTAAGGCATCCAGAAAGCATCCCACTGCTCACAGAATTTCTTGAAATGCCCTATAATCCTAATCCCTTAAAATAATAAACTTGCACAGTCTGTAAAGAGGACTTTTCTAAATTATAAAATGCTTATTGCACAACTAGCAAATCACATTTATGTCCAAATCAGATCTAATTATATATAGCTTTAAAGACACAGTTTAAAGCTTCTAGAACTTTAACAAATTATTTTGTTCCTCCTTTGGAATACCAGAATAAGTTTTCTAATTGTATTTGCACATTCTGTATCTTAGTGTTTATGTGAATGATCTACAGAGATTTTTCCAATCTTGCATTAAAATACTTTGTTATATTGTTTATTTTTCTAAGCCAGTTTAAATTGCACAAAAGCACTATTATGTAAACGTAGTTATAATACTCTTTTAAAAATTGAGTACTAAAAAGGTAAGAAATGTGAGATTCCTCTTTTGGCTTAAATGCTTCTCCTTTCCACCTCATGTAATGTTGGTTACCTGACTTAAGTCTGCATTTAATTCCCATATCCCACCCTGACTCTTTGGCCTAGACACTTTTCAAGTCTCATTTCTAGCCTTGTCCTTTTTCTGCTTGCCCTGTATATTCTCCTGTTTCTCTTCCACACTGTCAGCTCTGCAGTTCAGAGATAAGGAGAGGCCATTTCCTCTTTCCAGCTTGGGTGCTTGGACCTGAAGCCATAGTTCAGGGAAAATCCGGCCCAGCCTGAAGCAGGAGCACATCCATAGAATGTAATCATTGGAAAAGTTAGCTGCTTGAAGTGCCTACTGAACACATGCCCAGAGTCTACAGCTTTGCTTAATTTGGGTAGCTCTCTCACAGATGAAAGAGACATTGCTGTGTCATATACAAAGGTCTTCACCTGATGCACAGGTGTGTCACTAGATTATTTTTTCTTATTTCTTTATATTTAATGTTTTAATGCAGACATACTGAGAATGGCTGGTGTTTTCTGTTGAAATTAATTTTAGAAAATTTTCTGATGCAAATACCCAGAACACAATATTCATCCCAGGCAGCTATTATTAGCAAAGGTAGAAACAAATGCAAATTAATTGCTGTAATGTATAGATCTGGAACCTCATGGTTTGTAGGTTTTATTAGTAATCTTACTTTGTATAGGTGTGTGGCAAAACTGGTTTTGAATAAAGAAGTCCAAATTCTGTTTTCTATAATATCTGCAGTTTATTTGCATGGAATTATGGAAAGGTAAATGAGCATAGAATTTAGTCCCTGTGTTAAAACTACTCAATAAAGCTACTGAATCTTCATTTTTTGAAGCATTTTGTTTTGCTGCTGTTGACTGTCTGCCATGACACTGAAGCTAAACCATCCCATCTGTTTGCCACATTAACCAGCTTTAATCAATTATTAAGCTATCACCTTGCATTTGGCATGTAATGCATTAGATTTTAAAGTGTATTTTGAGGAGAGAAAAGTGCCAAAGAGCAAAAAGCCATAGTTTTCTTAATGCATTAACTGGAAGTTAATGTTTTATATTGCCATTTTGTGTTGTCTTTTTCTGGGTTTTGTTGGTTTTGGGGGTTTGGTTGTTTGGGGTTTTTTTGTTCTGGGATCTATTTATAACTGAAGCACTTTTGCAGGTGGTGTTTTTTTGCATGCTAATCCTGCAGAGAAACATTGTGTCCAACAAAGTATGCTGGGTCAGCAAAAGCAAGAAACTTGTGCTGGAAAGACAGTATCCACAGGTATTTAGTGTGTATGGAGATTTGGCAAAATGAGTGATTAACTATCATTGGCAGAAAAAGATCTCATGTTGTGTCTTAGACAGTTGTGCATTTTTTTTCTTTCCCACAGAAAAGATATTCTTCCTTTTAAAGTCAGCAAAAGACTTAGCTGTATTAATATTCATTGAGTACTCAGGAATCTTCATCTATATTCTGTCTTTTCCTTCAAAACAAGATTATTCTTTTTTTGGTGTTATTTTCTCTCATATGTCAATTCATACACAAATGAAATACAAACGTGCACAACTGAGGCAGACCTACAAGGATTATTTAAAAAATTAAAAGGATTATTTAGAAAATGAACTCTGTTACTCAGTGGTTCCTGTGGTGGCTATTTGGTGGTTATTTTCAAAATTGACCAGATAGTACTGAAAACTAAATTTCTTCTGATACTTTCTACAGCATCTGAGTTCAGCAATGTTGTGTGCTTTACATAGGGAACAGGCTATAAAGGAAGTACAAATAAGGCAGAGTAGGCTGAGGTAGACCAGACTTGGATGACTTGGGAAGGCAGGGGAACCATGAAGAAGCAGCACCCCATGGAAACTCCATTTCCTCCAGAGGAGTCTTCCTAGCATGGATCTATCAGAGAATTTAATGCATCATTGATTTTTGTGTTGGTGTGTCACTGTCCACTTCTATACAATTTTAAGGTTATTTAGAAGGGATGAAAGCTTATGACATCCTGCAAGTACCTGAGGGATTTGATATTTGAAGGTTCTAGCATGGTAACCATTAATCTTTTAACAGAGACTTTTAAAGTAAATAGGTTGAACTGCATTTGTTTAGCCTTGTGTGTAATTAGTTAAAAGTGTTTACCTGTTGTCCCAATTCCACACTCATCTGAAAGACTGAGAACACAGCAGGTAAAAATGAGCTTCACGTCCTTCATATTAAACCTAATACTTTCATTTATTTCCTTTGTTATTAATGAAAATTTTAAAGAAAGTATAAAAATTGTTACCTTCCAGTGAAGGATTTGCAGATTTACTTGTAGAAAGAGTGTTGTGTAAAACAAAGGGCCAACCTCATAAATGCCATTACAGAGCCTCCCGTAACTGAAACTTCCCCTTCCTAGGTGAATGACTTCATGGGATTGCATAGGCACAAAGGCTTTTCCTCAGGCCACAGATGACAAGCCAAAATGAGTCCTTTGAATCAGAGACAGAAATAATTTGGAAGAAATGGAATGTCTCTGAGAAATGCATATGAGGTTTCCAAGCTGCCTTTGCACAAGCCAGCCAGCCAGAGCATATTCAAGTCTTTCAGTGTGGTGAAAACATGAATTACTATAGCTCTTGCTGTGTGCAAAGGAAGTTATGGAAACTTTTCACCAACTATAAATGGAAACCAGAATTTTGGTCACTGATGGTACTTTCATGCTCTGGGTGGCGTCAGCAGAACCTCCAGTCTGAATTGACTGGCTGCTTTCTCCTGATCCAAGATGCTAAGTGGTCTTGCACCAGTTCTTCCAATCAGCTTTCCCAGTCTGCAGGCAAAATGTTAACAGAGCCTGAAGCATCATCAGGCAGCTAGTCTGCATCTAGCCCTTCTCTATATTTAGGCACTGGCTAAGCAGCTTAACTCCAGTAGCTGTGTTGGAGGGGAGGGAAGTGCAGAGTCGAGTGTTCCTTTGCTTACCAGAAGCACTGCAAATTAATAATTGTGCACTAGAATGTCTAATGTCAACTTGTGAAAAAGTGGGGGGACAAAAAAATAAAATTGTACTGAAGGTTGGTACCAAACAACGTGGAAAACTTAGGATAAAATTACACTGGTTGGAAAAAGTGTTTGTATAAAAATCCCTTCTCAAATAGTTATATCAATTCTCAGTATTGTGTTACCTGTGTAAGAAAGACATTGATCTAAACAGACCTTATTTCAAAGAGCATCTTGTGTTTCATATTGATGAAGGTCTTGGCTTTTAGAGCAACACTCGCCTGTGGAATGCTGTGGAGATTCTTTATAGAAAACTAATTTTACTGCTGAATTTTGCATTAGGCAAGTCAATGCATTTGAGAAACATATGGTTCTTTTTAAAGCTAATGCTATACATTATTTCTACAAATACTTCCTCCTAAGTTCAAATTAACCTTTCTTTTATGACTGCCATTTGTGGAGGTGACGTGTCCACAGCAAACCTTCCACCTTTTCCTGTTACCATTGGTGGAAGAGTGGGTGCCTTGTAACTTGGAGTAGCAGGGGTAGTAATCTGCTTAAATGCTGGCATTCCTAAAAGTTATATGCAAATCAATGAATGAAATTTTGAAATAAAAAGGGAGAGGAACAAGAGAAATGAGAGAGAATGGAAACATCTTCATGTTGAATATTGTGGCAAGCTAAATAGCTGCAGATTTGGAGGAAGTCTTTATTGTCAGTGTCTGACAAGCATAATCTGGAGAAATAAGAACTGATTCTGTTCCCTAAAAGGAAAGTACCCTTATTTTGTTATCTGCTGTATTTAAGTTATATGGTTTGAGCTGTAACTATCATCAAAGTTCAGGGCTAGCTTGGTTAGTGATTAAAATACTTTACCTAGTGTTATTCTCCTTCTCAGAACTACTTAAATCATTTACTCAAAAGCAACAGGACGATACCTTGTGGGAAACAAATCATCATATGACTAACAAAAATCTTAGTAGCTGAAAATGTAAAGATTTCTATATAATTAATTACTAGATTAAAAACAATTAAAATTTGGGGCTAAAAAGTGCTGTAGGGAAACCTTTCTAAACATGTTTCTGCTTTTTCCAGGTTGCACAAGCCTGGATTGATCCCTGTGTGCAGGGATCTCTATTTATGTAGGACTTCTGGGTGTACTGTAACCCAGTCTGCACAGAATGTGTAGAAATTGAGAAGGGCTCTGCAGACATTGAGCAGAGAGAAAGTTATGGTGGTGCCCAGTAGTTTCACTTAACTGGAGTATAAAGAAAGTGCATAATGAACTCGGGGTTTGATGCAATAGATGGCAATAAAAGGATCAAAGGCTTATGCCCTGCATAGTTATTGCTCTATGAATCTGCTGATCAAAGAGTGTTGAAAAGCATCAGATCTACTAAATATGAACTGCACAGTTTCTATGTGATTGCTCAGTGAATCCAGCATGTCCTGAAGGCAGTGGCTTTACTGCACATGTGCACACCATGAATATGCACATGTATCTGTCCAGGAGTTCTGGTCATGAAACATGATAGGTCTGTAGCTTGCAGTGCTTGCTGCAAAGTGTGTGATGTCTGAGAAGAACATCCAGGATTAAGATAAATTTACTTGACTTTCCAGTGTTGGTAGTAATTCACAGTTACCTTTTTAAGTTCAGAATCACCTATAAATGCATTTGTAATAGATGTATTTAAAGTGGCAAGAAATGGAAACTTTCCTATGGAATTACTGTACTACAATATTTCAAGGTTGAGGCATTTACTTTCATGTATTCAATTCAAATGTGATTCTTCTCAAATGATTTTTGCTTATGTCCAAATTGCCTTTCTGCCTGGAATCTTTGTAGCTGAATTTTTAGTGGTTGCAATTTCCATTTTTCCAGGAAACCTATTCCAGGTTTGGAGAACTGGAGGCGTCAATAATTGAATTTGAGAGTGGGTAATGAGACTGATAGATGAAATGGTAGTGGTACAATTAACAATGTATCAACTCCTTTTCTGTGGAGTCTGAAAGGTCAGCAGGTGTCTTTGCTGCCTAATGCATATTATATTATATGAATTATATTGTTTTCCTTTTGTTTTTTTTAATTATCCTCACATTTTTTACTGAAAACATTTATTACTTTTATGAACACAAATAGAAACAGGAAGAAATTGTTATATAACCTTGATAAATTGCATATTTCAAGAAAGTGTTTAAATAATTTACTGCAGTAGTTCTGTTGTGAATTAGTGGCACCTGTGTAATTTTTGTGATTGGGTATTTAACAGTAGTTAATAGTTAATATTTTTTCAAATCCTCTTTGATTTTATTATACATTATTTGCATGTTTTGTGGCAGTAATTTTTCTAAGACTTCATCAGGCAAACTTTGGTCTGTGTCTCATAAAACCCACAAATTCTAAATAGTAGAGAATGTCTGAAAGATGGCATGATTCTTTTTGAAACACATGATCACAGCTGGTGCTCAGGGAAGTTGTGTGTCATGGAGCTTAAATCCTGTCCCTGTGTTTCCAGCAGAATATTGCCAGCATGCTCTCACAGCTTTTCCAGGGCTGAAGAGGCTTATGGGTGTATTTGTTCTGAAATGTCATGTAGTTTCTAACCTAGAAGGAAACATTCAATTAAGATTTGATTAAGAGGAATTTTTTTTTGCAAATCTGTGTTCAAACATGTTGCTTCAGACAGTGCTTTTGTCTAGGAAAGTTTTGCAGTTCTAGATTTAATTTCGTGTTCATTTAAATGCCTAAATATTTTTAATAATCTTATGTTAATAGTATCCTTTGTAAGCAATTTTATTTTTGAGAGAGTAATTTTTTTAAAATACTGTGTCTCATATTACATCTGTGTTATGTTATTCTTACAGATAAACAGAAATCCCCTTCGGATATAATACAAAGTTTTCAGAAGAAAAGTCAGTTTAGGACCATTGCTCCAAAAATGGTACCAAAAATTTTAACATCTGGAGTGGTTTCTTGCCTTCAGTCATCTTTGCCTGAGCCAATGACGCCAATTTCAGCTTCGGGTCCCAAGCCCCTGGTGGTGCCAGCTCAGAACTATGCTGTCATGCAGGTGGCTGCTCACAAGGGCACCTTTTCCCTGCTGGCTGTGCCGTGTGTTGCACCTGCCCTAACACAGCAAGTTCAGCAGTCAACTGTGGCCCCCTCTGAAAACCTAAAGCTGCCCATCCCCAGGTACCAATCTGTAAGAAATAAATTGCTGAGTGACAAAAAACCAGCACAAATCTCTAGTTTGAGTGCATGTCACAAGATTCCTAGCAAAGCCCTGGTCTCATCACAGACTTCCCCCATGACTCCTCTACCTGAAGACTGTCCTGAAGCTCATTCTAGTTCAGATTCAGCTGAGCAAGTGATGGTAGCAGACTGTGACTCAGCTGAAATTGGAGTTGCCACATCACTGAATAAAAGCAATTGTGTGGAATCTAGTTCGCTTTTGATGAACAAAACTAAAATTGCTAGCAGTAGTATTTCTGGACCATCTGTAGTTGAAGACTCTCTATCCAAGCCAGCAAGTACAACTAATCCCATGAAACTAAGTCTACATTCTGTGAAGACAGCATCGGAAACCACAAGAGAGTCACTCTTGACATCTGAGAAACTAAAGGAAAAACCCACAAATTCTACAAGTCCTGTTGCTGTCTTGTCATCAGCGGTTTTTGGCAGTACAATTCAGATGACTCCATCAGCACCAAAAGGAAAACTTCCTATTTTGCCTTACTCCAGAATGAAAAATTCAGTGTTCTGTAAATCTAAGCAGAATATTAATGTTATGGACCTAGCTGGTCATTCACTAAAGTCTGAATGTGAAAAGACACCATCTTTGAAAACCAAAGCCTTTGATAAGCAATTAGGGGTATCATTTACACAAGTCCCCAAACAATCCATTCGAGAAAATACCTTCTCTCCATCCAGTAAAGAGGATGATGTCGACAGTCTTAAAAAATTGAGCAGTGCAACCCCTAAAAGAAGAGGCAGGAAAAAAAGAGCCCCGGAAGATTTATTGGCTTTTCAGGCCAAGCGGAGGAAATGCATCATTAATAAGTTTAGAGAAGGAAGAGAGAGGGCAAAGGTTGATATTCAGACACCTGAAGACAATAAAGCAGAAGCAGTGAAGAGATACCGCAGTATCAGACCGAAACCAGTGGTGGTTGTGCAGGCGTTCGCCCCGCTGACTTCTGCAGCGGTCGTAGAGACGCCGTCTCGTGAGCAGGACTTATTCTTAAATGGTTCACTCACCAATAAATGTGTAAGCTCCAAGCACAGTGATGCTACATCAGCTAAATCAAGTGATCTGAGCAGAAATACATGTTCAGCCGTCCCTAAGCCGCTGCACAGATGCCAGGTGTGTAACCATACGTTCCAGTTCAAGCACCACCTCCAGGACCACATGAACACGCACACGAACAGGCGGCCCTACAGCTGCAGGATCTGCAGGAAGGCATATATCCATTCTGGGAGCCTGAGCACACATATGAAGCTTCATCACAACGAAGGCAAATCCAAAAAGCTGGTGTGCTGTGAATTCTGTGCTAAAGTCTTTGGCCATGCCAAAGTGTACTTTGGCCACCTCAGAGAAGTCCACAGGGTTGTTATCAGCACAGAGCCCTACGCTAGCGAGCAACAGGTGCAAGATACTTTAAAGAAGAGAGACGGGAATGTAAAAGAGGCAGAAGAAGCTGCAGAGAGGTGAGAGCTCTCACTAATTAAATGCTAATGAAAACTGGATTTCAAGTTGTCAGTGGATATTAATAAACCTCACCATTATGAAAATTGTTGCGTTTTTCCACCAAGTGAGATTTCTAATAATTTAAATATTCCATGAATCTAGTCAATCCATTAGACCAACCAGTATATTTTAGCTGATTTACTATAAATCAGCTAAATTATTAGCTGATTGTCTATAAATTATTGACACTTGAATATCTAAACTAATTTTGCATATATTCTAGTAACACCCAATATACTGCCATATTTGGGTCATTTGGTTTCTCATGGTTAGTGCTTTGTCTTCTGTCCCACCCACTTTGGGGTTTTCCCTAGAAGATAAGGGAACCAACTGCAGTAAGCAAAAAACAATTAATATTTCAGTATTAGCCTGTACTTTGCTTTCCCTGTTAAATATCATTATCCCACTTCCTTTTAGGGAATGCTGTGAGCTAATCTGTCCTGAGTTTACTGCTGCTTTTGCAATCACTCAACCAAGCAGAAAAGTTAACATGCACTGTATTAAGATGGATAGAACATACTTTTACCTCTGTATTATGATTTTGAGGTGAAATCTCTTGATACAATATAAATGTTGCCTTTTTTGTTTGTTCCAGTGCATTTATTTTCACTGAAGAACATTTGGGGCTTCAATGTAGCTCCTCACTGCAGTTCCATTCTACTCGTTTTACTTTTCATAGCTCCACTCTCTGGAGCAGCAGTCAGAAACTTTTACAGTCTTGAGACTAAGAAACACCAGTCCTTTTCTGTCAGTAGCTGTCATACAGTGAATCATTCAGTTTATCTGTTTTGTTGGGTAATCTGTCTAATATGTATAAATACACAGTGTTATGAAGTCCTTCTTGTAGATGTTATGAGAAGATGTCTGAGGAGATCTTGTTTTGATTGTGTTAACCAGGGACTGCCTGCGTATCCTTTATACTACAGGACTGTCCTAAATCAGGGGAAGGGGCTGTCCAATTGCCTATTAGCATTTAAACTTTTCTAAACTATGTTACCGACTTGCAGGAAAAAAAAAGCAAGAAACTTTGAAATGTCACAGTTTCCATCTTGGAAAGGGAGGTGATTTTGCCTCGAATTGACCCAGATCACTCATTGTTAACAAGTAGGTTTCTCTTACTTGTACATTACAGGTAATAGTAATTTTCACTTTTCTAGCACAGCACTAGAAGTATTTGGATTGACCTCCCTGAATCAGGAACTTCAACAAAAGTTATCAGCCTTTTATTAAAGGCTGGTGTTGTTAAAAGGTTATTTCTGCCAAAGCTAATTTTCAAGGCAATTCTTAAACTCAGAAGTGCCATTTGGTTTCAGTTTTTTCCTAATCAGCCTCACTAGTATTTATTTGCTTTCTTTTTTTTTCCTCTTCCAAATGAATTAGATACTGTAGAAACAATGTCCTTTTTTAATTAAAAGTGTTTCATGACTGTCATCTCTTCTTGGAACTTGCAAGGACAGAAATTTCAATCCCTCTTCTCTGCCTGGCTAATACTTAAATAGTTTGTATTTCCTTTTTTTAACAGGGGAAATAAGTGCAATTTTGAGGACCTGTTCCATAACCCAGGAGAAGTGAAATTACAGGTCAAATGTGGTCGATGCCAGTTTATTGCAGAGTCTTTTGGTGAAATGAAGTTTCACTTATTGTGCTGTCATGGAGAAGAGATTCAGGGAAGAGTGAAGGAAGGGGTTTTTCAAGGAAGCAGAGGAACAAAGGGGAAGCTGGTCAAACACACAACCCACGTGTGGAAACAGCACAATGAGAGAAGACATTTGGCAAAGTGCAGTGCCCATCAGGAGGAGCTGTATAATGTTCCAAAACCAAAGAGACAGATGTACTTCCACCATCAAAATAATGCCAATATTGTACCTAAAAGTGAACCAAGCCAGTCAGGAAGTGGTGAAGCCTCTAAGGAGATGCAAAATGTGGGGTTTGGCCCACAAAGGAAAAAAATAGAATTTTGGTCAAAAGCAGGCTATAACTGCATTTTATGCAAACAGTTATTTGGAAGAAAAGAGGATCTTTGTAATCATTGGCAGAGTCATCATAATTGTGAAGACCCTTCCACTTTATGGACAATTTTTACTTTGGCATCAAAAGAAGGAATTATTGAACTTTCTGATAATGGTGAATATTGAAGCTCAACTCTACAATGCTCTGAAAAGCATTAACTACCTTACCAAATTGTTCTTTCACTGTCTTGCTAAACTAACTCAGCAGATGTATCACTTAAAAGGTTTGTTAGTTGGGTTTGTTGGGGATTTTTTAAAAAGCCATATTAACCTTTATTTTGGTGACTAGAAAATGTAAACACATTTTCTGTATCATTCCAGATGGGTACATGGAAGCTGATTATGAATCGTTGTACTTAAAATTCATGCTTAAGGAACTTTATGACAGCAAATACTCAATACTAATTATTAACCTCAATGAAATATATTTGCAAGTTAAATTATACTATACACACAGAAATAAATCAATTTATATAAAGAAATCTAAGTCTTAAATTAAATTAAAAACCTGACTGGAAGTCAGATCCCGATTGTGCTCCCAGATTTTGTGGTAAATGCATATTTCCATGAAGTTCTCTCCATCACTTCAGTGTGCATACATGCAGCTGCACTCAGGAGCTTTATAGTCTATAATTTAAGAACTTCTGATTCTTGTTTTCTTGATTTCAGTGAACATTTCAATGAACATTTCAAAAATGTTCATTGCTTGCAGGTGTTTTTGGTGTTCTTTTCTGTCCTGGTAACAACAAAGATATTTGTATTTTAGGAGTAAAAATCTCCTGTGTATTTTTATGCCTGTAGCTTTCTGGGTTGAAGATTTGGTGCCACCCATGGAGGTAGAGCCCAGCACATCTCCAAGGGGGCAGGTCCTGTAAGAGGGTGGAGTTCTGGAGCTTGGTTTTGGTGAAAAGGTCATTGAAACCATTGAATCCAATTTGAAATTGATGTTTGAACTGCTTAAAGCCTTATGTTCCTCTGAATTATTTTGGGAGCAATAATGGAGGCAAGTCTAAGAAATCACCACATCATTCTTCAGCAGAAGTCAGAGCACGTCAGAGGACAAGAAAAACACAGCAGCACTGTCCCTACAGTGTCCCACTCCATTCATTCCTTCTTGTGGTCAGCTGTAATTGAGGGAGTGCAGTGATAAAAGAGTCATGCCTGAAATGGCCTGGCTTGCCTCTCACTGTTTTGCAAAAATTATGGTCATGAAAACATGAGAAGAGGTCTAAAAGTGTTGAGCTTTCTGACTGGGATTCCACAAGCTGTTGCAATATTTTGTGTATGTGTTTTGTTTTTAACAGTAAAGGCTGTTTTGATGACCTGATAGTTTTGAATGTGATTTCTTGTTGTGTGGTGCTTTGCCCTGAAGTTGAACTGTAAGGTAGGAATCAAGAATAACAAAAGACAAAAAGAAAATGCCCATAGAACTGTATTTTCCCATGGATTTTCAAAACTTTCTTCCTATTATCTGTTACTATAAATTCAGATTTATAGCTGTTTCTTTGCTTTCATATTTTGGGGTTTTTATGCTGAATTACCTTAAAAGTAGTAATTGTTCTTATTCTTGACACATTCATTTTTTAATGTTATGATATATTATACATTATTCATAATGTTACAATATATTCATATTTATTTTCACTGGCATATTTGGACAGGAACAGCTGTTTTTAAAGTCACTGTTTCACATCAGACTGAGGCTGTATTTAACTTAGTAGAGTGTGTTGCATTTAGCAGCATTTTTTGCCTCTGCAACTTAATCCTTTAACTTTAAAAATCAAACAGCAGGGTGTTTTCCATGAAACAGAAATGTGAGAACAATCCCTCCTTCCCATAGTTACACTGTGTCAAAGGGAAGTTCATTCCCAGCATAAAGCATGCATTTTATGAGTTGGGAAAAACCATTTAAATGTTTTGATCATGGTATTTTTTTAGAGTGAACATTAAATCACCCATCCCAAGGTATAGTTTAAAATGAGCTGACATAAATTCAGTACTGAGTCTCTTCTGTTCAGGAACAGCAGCAGCCATGGCAGAGTGGCCCTTTAAATTATTTTCAACAGGTATTTGTTTAAAACAGTGTTGCATCAGAGCCAGTGATGTAGGTGATTTGTTTGGGTGGTCATCAGGGAAGAGGTGCACTTTCCCTGGAGGGGGAAGTCAGTGGTGGTGGGAGGAGGGGGCTGGAATGACGGAGTCAGTTGCATTTTCTTTAGTAGAAATTTTCACGTGCAGTCTTCTCATCACATTTTTGTACTTCTCTCCCTTTCTCCAGGCCAAATGGGTAAAGGGGTCTCAGCTTTCAGTGGTTTAAAACCTGAAAACATGTTTTAAAGCATGGTTCTAAGCCACTTCTCAGTGTCCTCATAAATGTTTAAAATTAGAAGCCCTTTTTTTAAGACCCTGAAAGCATTCTTGTGTTTCAGGCTATTACAATTATGGTAGATTATGAAAGGTTGGGATTTTTTGGAAATAGCTTTGCATTAAATACAGATGTGTCCTTTGTTTAAAATGTCTTTATTTGGCATTTGTGTTCATTTTGATAAGATTTGGAGGCCCAAAGTGAGCCTTATATACTGCAACTTTTAGTAGTGTGTGTTTGCTGCCCAGCAGAAGGATTGTTATAAATACAGTTTGCTGTTTACCTTGAAGCTGGACAAGTTAACATCTGGTTTTGCACACAAATTATGTTTTTAAATTGTTAAACCGAATGTTATTGTTTTTGTAGCTGTAGTTTTGTTCCCCTCTGATTTTTCATTAAGTCTCTCTTTCAGTTCCACTGTTCAACTTTAAAGCCATTCCTCACATGGAAAGTTGTTCCTTCATCATCACGCCATAAATAACCAAAGCTGGAGGAGTTCCATCACTTTTCTGGCTTGCAGAGTATTGCCCTTCTCCAGCTGCAGAGCTACAGTTTCCTATGTCTAACCTGACATAGTTGCTGGCAGTAAATGTTTTGCTTCATTTATTTATTAGAATTCAGCTTGCTGCTTTTTAGCTCAATCGGAGTTGCTGTCATACCTCATTAGATACTTATTTTATCTGCTGTTCACTGAGCTCTTTGAAGAAAGTGGCATAAGAAGGATGAACAGGTATTTAAAGGAGCAGATTTCTGCCCATTTCATGCAGATGATGCTGATGTTTGAGGATCACCAGCTTATCTAGGCTCAGCCATGTAGTACATTGTATTTCTACAACACATCCACCTACACGTGCATCTATTTTGGAACGAAACGTATACTTCAAATTCAGCTGTCAGTTACTGTTATCAAACCCGAGCAATGCAGGTTTGGGATTGTTATGCATAAAGATTAAAATGCTATTAACTGTAGTAGGTTTGCTTGTCAAATTCCGTATAGCTCTGAAAAATGAAAATCTCTGTGTGCTGAGTATGACACAGAAAAAATCTGGTCTCATGAAGAAAAGTCTAATGGCTTAAAGGTTGTCCTCATTTCAGTGTGCACTTTTATAGCTGATCTGTCACATTACAGGATTTTCTCCACTTTTTATGAAATTGCCATAATTTTTCTTGGTGAGGAGGACTGAAGAAGACCTGAGTCTTCAAACAAGTTTCAGTGAAAAATGTGTCTCCTTTTTTCTAAACAAGCAGGAATGTTCCATGGACTCAAAAGTCTTGGTGCCATTTTATATATATACATATATATATATATATATATATACATATGCACAATGTGGGGAAACATGCAAGGTTTGGGGTTCAGTGTATCACTCTATGAGGCTGACCATTCTGCAGTTCTCAAGTTCTCAGAAACTAGAAATTTCAGTGTAAAAATAACTTGGTTTTCAGACTTGGGTGAATTTCTAATACCTTATTGACAAACCTTCAAGAAAGCCTGAAAAATGGCAATAACATACTTCTCTATTTGTGCTTTGTTAGGCAATTTTTTGGACATGGTGATACCAGAGGTGGTGTAAAATATGATACTGCTGATGCTGTTGAGTACAAAGGAAGCTTTCTCCCTTTCATTTTTTGATATAATTTTATTGACTTTTCTGTGTAAGCATTAGAAATGATGGGATAAATTACTATTTTTGCTGCTGACAAACCCAGAAACATCATTCTGAAGTTACTTTGCAGAAACCTCCCATTTTCATCTAGAATAAGAGATGAACCCAGAAAAAGCAAGTCCTGTAGGAGATACCTGAGCAAAGTGTTCCCTATGAGGCTCTCTGCACACTTACACTGCTGTAGGTGATGTTTACAGATCTTCTGCTGATGGGTACAAACAGTTTGTTCTCATCTAGAGTTACTTATCTTGGCCAATGGAAATAAGAATTAAAAAATGTCCATGCCTTCTCTTTCATTTGAATTTTTCTGCTAAATATTTCTGCTGTTACACCAGTCCAGATTGTGGTCCAAGCCATGAAGATACTCAAGCACTTTCTAGAGGCCTTTGAGCAGATTTCAGTGGAGGAAAGGGAAGGAAATGTGTGAGGGAAGGAGTGATGATGGAGGTTGGCACAATGTTTTGAATGTAAGTTCAAGCTTCTGTATGACTGACTTTGGTGGAAGCATTCTGGAGCCTTAAACTTCTCCATTCCACCCCCTTTGTTACATGATTCCAGACTGTGCTTGCATGTGAGGTACCTCAGTCTGGAGCACCCTCAGCTTCCTTAGGCATGAGCTTTTCCAAATGGCACAGATTCCTTTGCCAATGTTCCCTTCTTTTGGTGTCTCAGTTTCATGCTGGTAGTTAGGTGAGCCACGTGCTGGCTGCTGAGACCAGCTGCTGCCAGATGTGCAATGTGGTCATTCAGCTTTCCGAGGAAAACATCTTTTAGCTGTAGTCCATAAAAAGTAAATCACAAGCTGCATCTGTGCTTTAAAAAGTAGAAAAATGGTTCACTGAGTTTCCTGCAGATGCAACACTGATAAGTAGTAGAGTAAAAAAAGTGAAGTGTTGCTATAAGAAAAAGCAGCTGCTGAATGTGATTTGGGTTATTTATGTGTCATTGTAAAAGCCTAGACTGTCCTGTCACCTGGTTAAAATTGAATAATGGAATCAGAGAAGTTCCATAAAAGTGTCACACAGATATGATGGCATAAAGCAGCAGTTCAGAGCCACTGTGACTGAGATCTCACCTTGCCTTGCCCCTCTTTTTCATCATCCAAAGCCTGGGACTGAGTGGCTCTGAGCACTCCTTTGCAGAATTTCAGGAAAACAGGTTGCAGGGGATGCTGGGCCAGCCTCCTGCCCAAAGCAGGGCTCAGCACCAGCCCAGGAGCAGAGCAGTGGTTTTTGCTTTTTGGAAGCCACTTCTGTTGCAGTTCCCTCTGGTCCATTGCCAGTGTGAGGATCATGAGTGTAATCAAGGCTCCAGTGTGTCAGCTGACACTTCAAAGCACTATCACAAGCAATTTTTTTACTTTTTTTTTGAAGAAAATGTGACATTTGAGACAAAAAAATCCCCACAACCCCAAATAAAGTTCTAGTTTCAGCTGGCAGTCCTTCAGAAAGTGTTTGCATCTCTCAGCACAACCCCCTGGCTTTGTTGCTTCAGACTGGCCAAGCCTCTTGTCTGACCATGTGAAGCAGCTCACGCTCCTTTGACTCTGCTTTTTCTGGGACCACGGGCTCCCTACTCTTCACATGCAGTGAATAGACTACTTTTTTTTTTTCCTACAGTTGATTTAATATAAAAATAAAGCATTTTATTTGCTGAATACTCAGTAATTTTGTGCAGGTTCAGGTTTAATCTGACTTTTGAACATATACCTGATCAAGGAGATCCATATACCTTCCTATTGCTAGGAGCAGCAAGTGACACAGTGAGGGAGGAAAGAAATAAATGTCCCTGTGACAATACCTTTGAAGGAATGCAGTTGCTTGCCTTTCATGGGAAGTTTAATTTCTTCATGTTTTTAGTTAAAAGCTTCTAATAATTTTGACTGCAGCAAATACACTCCTATACTTTGCTATTCAAATAAATCCTTTTTCAGGTCCAAGTCCTTGGAGTTTGAATCCTGTCCAGCCATATTCTGCTATCTGCCAATTCCTTGCTAAGTGCAGACCTGACACACTTGCCAATAAATCCACCTTTGTGCCTTTTAAAGTCATCTGCTCTCTTTTCTCTGGAGCTAATCAAAGTTTGCAAGACTTTTTTTTTTAAGGGGAACTGGCTCTAGGATTCAACTGATTTAAATTGCAAGGTAATTAAAAGAAAATTGCAGTGAACTATAAAATAGAGAAATGGTACAGACTGTTTGAAAGCTCACTTATTTTTAATCTCTTTTATGAATATTTGGAGACAAAGTTTTCTAGGGTAGAATTTAGGGGGTTTATGCTGTTTTACGTGCTACTCTCCTAATCCACTTTTTAGACTCCCAAGCCCAGTACAGCAGAGCCCAGCCCTGCTCCTGAAGTTGATTGCAGCCTGTTAAACTGAAAGCACCATTTTATTTTTACCTTGTGAGGCAGCTGGGCTGATAAGTGGATGGGATACCAGCTCTCCAGGAGACAACTGCACTGTCTGCACAGGTTAATAGTCTCATGTCTTTCAAGAGCAGCGTTTCCAGTGTCTATACAGGCAGGTACACGGAATCACACACAAAATTATAAAAGGATTAAGTCTCTGGAACACTTCTAACTTGTATGTTAATGTCACACTGGGCAGTATATTCTAATTGTTTTTATTAAAATGCAGTAACAGTGTTGTTATTATTGTATTGCTAATATATGTATGGCTGCTCTGAACCCTGAAATACTCAGAGGTCACACAAGTTCTTCCAGGAAATTGGATTAATTGTTGCACTGTTGGAATCTCTTTTTAAAAAATGTGCCACTCCTACTGGTTAACACCACTTGTAAGGTTGAAATGATATTTCTGAGAGTGATTTACTGGTCTAGCAGAAAAGTCTGGTGCTAAACCTTTCCACTGGGATTTGCTTACATTAGGAAGCAGTGCAGGTGGCAGTCAATTTCAACACAGAATGGATTTTCCCCCCTTTCCTTCTGATAAATGAAGTGCTTATGTAAGGTGAGAGATTGAAAAAAAATGAGAAAGCTGCAGGCCTTGGAGGATCCATCTGAAAGCTCCACATGCAGGCAGAGGACACAGGGAAAGTCTGCTGCAGTTCTGTTCTGCTCCTCTCAGGTGTGATGGGAGCCAAGGGGGAGGCTTGGCCAGTCTGGAAATGCCGCTCACCAAAAGCTCCTCCCTGCAGCCAAGGGTTTGGGTTTGGAATTGCAGCACGAGGGATTTGCTGACACCAACCTCATTTCATCCATGCTTGGTAATAAACTTCCCACACCTTCATGGTGGGAACTCTGTTTTGAGCTTTTTGTCTTGTGTCAATTTTGTGCATAATAAATAAAATCTGGGTTTGAGTCAGTGCTCAGCAAACTCTGTTCTGAAGGCTCATTGTGTGCCAGACTGCTCCCTTTGGCTCCTGCTGGTACCAACTTCCAAAGGATTCATTTGTTATCAATGACAAACTTTTGATGGTTTTTACTGTCAAGTATCACATGCAGATCTCCTAACAGTGTTGTATTCTTAAATTATTGTAGCATTTGATCAAATTAGCCCTTTTAAAAGGGATCTGGGTACACTAATAGTGGTTGCTCTGGTACACATCTCTAGAGAAAACTTGAGATCTGACTTTAATAGTCAGAACCAATTAGGCTCATCCTTTTTTCTGCCTTCTCTCTGCATTGTTCAGATGAATTGCATTTTTCAGGCAGTTCAAGAAGACTGTCAGGTCTCTGGGGCTCTCTGACTCCGGGGCTCTGCATTCCCACTGTCAGCTGTGAAAAATAATTCCACTTTTGCAGTTGTGTCCAAGGAAAGTAAGATGATAAATCAACAGGTTAGATTTAAGAGGGGAAGTACATTATTGTTTACTCAGCACTGAATAAGGTTTTGTTCTAGGAGATATGGTTGATATGAGGCACAGGGAAGCATTCTCTGTTTTAAAGCTTTCCAGTTCATGAAGTTTTTAGGATTCATGCTCACTCGAAAGAAGATTTAGGGGTTTGTTACTCAATATCTTTTCAGAGTCCCTGAAATATGGCAGTGATTTTGACAAACACCAGGCTGAAAAAATTAAGATAGGAAAAAGAAAGTAAACTGTAAGCAGAGAGAAACAAAACTTTGAGAAAAACTCCCAAAAAATTCCCAATGCATGCAGGATCTCTGAGTGTGAGTAACTACTTTCAGATAAAATTCACAGTAGAGTGGTTTTGCTGTTCAGCTACTCTCATGAAATTGCAATATAATTGAGAACAACTTTTGAACCAAAAGAAAACATTCGATCTTTTTGCTTTAAGGGAAACTGAGAAGTTCTCCCTGAGGCAAGGGAGAGGTGCAGGTATGAAGTTAACTTGGAGCCACTGTTCAGTTCTCTGTGCAGCATCTGATTGCAACATCCTTTCTTTGCCATAATGCTGTAGTAGAACTTTTCCATGGAGAATAGATGGTAGAACTTTAATCACTGCTAAGTCTGAAAATTGATTGAACCTTCAGTGTTTGGCAACTGAAGTCTTCAGTAAAAGAAAAGGCATTAAAATGAAGCTCCAAGTCTCTCATCATTCACCTTTTCACCTTTCAAGTTTCTGCCCGTTATATCACTGTTAGATTTGATACATGAGTACAGCTCAGCACAGCCACCCAGCATCCTGCTCTAAACAGGCAAACCCTATTCTAATAAACCTCTAAATGTATCCAAATGCTTCTGAAGACTCCGGCAGCAGAGAGTGCCTTGCTTGCTGTCAAGTGGACATGATTAGTTTATTTCTAAACACCAAGCTGCTGAGAAATAAAGCAGTGTGGCAAATGCAGCCCCCTTCCTTCTCTGACTTGGCTTTAATGACCTGCTGCATTAATGG